GAAAAAAAAAATACAAAAACAACAATAAGTCGTGAGAATGGAGAATGATAAGACGTAACAAGACGGTATACATAAGTAACGAGGAATCAAAACGGAAGGAAGATGAAAAGTACGTTCGTACATGTGTATGTATTATATGTACGTAATTGCACGTATACGGTAATGCACAGATTAGGAGCTGAGAACGGAGTTTGGGTGCGAAATCGCACCACGGAAGACTCCTAATCCTTATTTGATCTTTTTGTAGCTCCAAAGCGAAGGGAATAGCTGTTGACTAAAGATTCGCACATTAATAAAAATAATAACAATATGTGCATTGCATCGTTGGTACACGTATACGTAGCCACCATATAATATACAAAAAAGTATACAAAAATGTTAGACACGATTTTTTTTTTATACATTAACAACGATTAATCAAAATTAAGTTTTTGCAGAATATCTAAGATTTTTAAATATTTTTTATATCTTATGTAAATTTTACTTTTACCAACTAACGAGCGCAAAATAAATAATTCTAAATGTTAATTTTTATTATTTTATGTACTAAGTTGCTATATAAAAAAGTAATGAAGTAACTTGTCTCGGATAAAATTTGTTTCGATCGAAAAATTGCGCTTAACTAACGTTACATAAAAGAGAAAAAAAAAAAAGTTTCTTATGCAGTCATTATCAAATAATACCATTTAATGAGTCAATAAATTATCATCGTATACGTTATCCTCAAGAATAACAAACGCTTGCGTACATCATGTATTTACAAAATAGCCCATAAGTACTCAGTGCTCGTGATTACAGTGCACGTCGAGAACCGAGACATCAATTCTCCGTTTCAATGGCTCAAGACGGAAAAAAGAAAAAAAAAAAAAATTCCCTATAGCTATGGGTTTGCAAGATTTCGCCGCTCGGAGTACAGAGCTTCACAGTCGGTAAACAATTCAAAGGTGTACCTACCTATATATAAGCTGTTGGTTGTTGCTGTAGTAGTATGAGTAAAAGGAAGAGGGAAATAATGCATAGCAGCATCTGGGCGCTATCGAGATTCGAGGGACAATACAATGGTCTCTCTCTCTCTCTCAGGAGGCTTTCTCTTTTCCGTTGAGAAAAAAAAAAAAAAAAAATCCATAATACAAATAGAATCAATCGATTCAGTTCACCAACCGCTTATTAGTCGGTTTTACTTTTCAAAGCTCGCCCGAGGTGGACGACTTGTTGCGACACCGATTCGCCGGTAAAACTCCCCGGCGATCATCGTGACGCGCATCGGTATACGTATAGTATAATAACCACCGCGCGACATCGTGTTGCCCGCAGATTGTCAGTTTAGATAATTACATGTCGATAAAACGTACGATTGATATAGAGAGCGCAGCCATATAGTATATTATACCACGACTGCGCACTGCATACAAGACCCAAATCGTCGTTGGAGATGGTATGGACGGGAAAAACGCGGGACTGGACCGTATCGATTGTTGAAGAAAGCCGTGCGTGAACGTGTGCCGCAAAATTCAACGAAACCGCCAACCGATGCACAAAATCGTTGCATAAGCGCGCGCCCGCGACAATAAACGATTTCCTCCGTAGATAAGAGTCGGTGTACATGGCACCTCTCATACACGTAGCACCGTAACTCCCCTCCCACCCCCTGTGACCCCAAGTAAACCTTACACTTTTGTATAGGTACCTATGGTGCACGTCGACATAACGAAAAAGGAAGAATAGAAGAGGGATGGATAAGTTGGTACGCGAAACAACAACAGCGAAACAGAGAGGCTTCCGTGTGGCGTAAGAGTTGCGATATGGTATATTGGGGAGGTGTACGCTCGTATACCTACCGTTGCAGTGGGCGGGCAATAAAGCATCGAACAAGCGTGTGAAGAGGATCGAGGAGCCCCGAATACGAGCAACTGCACCTATATGTATATATACATTTATGTCCGCCTTTCCCTTTCCGGGACCCATAGCTTTGTGCTGCTATATACATAACTCTGCCGGGTTGTTATTGTTATGTTGATGGTGGCGTTTTATAATATGATCGAGAAAACTAAGACGAGATGTGCGAAAAGTCATCCGAGTCGTGAGAATCAAAGTTGCACGTACGGGTATCAGCGGTTCCGCAAAACACGTTTCTGTCTGTACCTATATACATTCATACAATTGGGATCGTAAAATTAAAAATCGGCATAGCATGTATATATGGGCCAACGACATCGTACGCTCGAAAGAATTGTGAGAATTTTTTTTCATTCTTTCTTCTTTTCTCACTTTCTTACGCTTTTTGATGCCTCTCGGCATTGAGCAATGGACGCGCAAATACGTAAGATACCGATTTTTGCCGTTTCTTCGGCGAAAAAAAAAAAAAATTAATCAACAATAGAAAGTTGATTTAATGAAATTTCGAAGATCTAAATAATAAGTGTATACTATATAAAAAGAAAGTCAGGGTATAGGTGTGTACAATTTTCAGTGAAGTGTAGCGAAATCGGTTGCACTTATAATACCACCTCGTGGCTAGCTCGGCTTTGCGCGGGCCAGTTTTGCCTCGGACACGCAACGGAACGCTTAAAGCATTCACGCTCTTTTTAGCACTCGAGCTCGCACAAATATTACTTATACCTGTAAAGCCTATGTACATTATATACGCGTTCATATTTTTACCAACACTTTTTGTCTCGATTTCATGCAAAGCCGAGGAAAATTCCTCGCTCGGTTAATGCTTACGGTGTAGCCTGTCAGTTGTACCCTACCGTATAGCGCGTTGTAGATCGGTATTGCGGGTATGCTGTTAAATCTGTAAGCAAATCCTTTACGATTGCCACATAAAAATTAAGAATTTTTACCATTTCGCAAATATGTATGTATGTACATCGGATACTCTCAGATCGGTTGTCATGTGATGGCTCGAGGATGTAGATACAACAGCATCGTCAAAAGTAGCGAGGACTGGTCGCACAAGTTGGCCAATCACAAAAGATCGTTCGAAGCCAGGTTCGATCGTTCGAGTTATCTGCCGGGCTGGACGTCACACTACGGCTATATCCCACTGTCCGATTACCGATACGATGAATTTGGTGGAAAGTACTATCGTCCCGGCACACAGACATCAGCGGCGAGGTATCCGAAAAAAAATCGTGAGTGTATATTTACTACCGATCCTCCGTTGGCCGATGTTAAAAAGAATCGTCGATTGGTGTGAAATGGAGTGCTACGTCGTACACGGCAGGTGTTTTTTGTTATTACAATTATTACCGACTATTAAAACAGTGAAAAATGTGCACTTTGTCATGGTATGGCAAAGTTAGTTTTTTTTTTTTTTTTTTTTTTAATTTATATTTACAAGTTGTCGACTGACGTTATTAAAACAAGTTGTTTGAATACGAGATTACAAAGATAACGAATAAGAGTAGGAAAACAAATTAAAAAAGCGCGTGCCTGTCCAAAATTTGAGATTTTAAATAATAACAAACAAAGTGACGGAATAAAAAAGGCAATGTTTTCGAATGTGCACAATGTCTTTTCTTCTTCGCGAGAACATAAAAAAATCAAACTTACACGTGCACGTGTATGAAATAAGATGCAGTAGACGATATATTTTGGCCTATTTGGATAATTTTCGTTATTTAGAATGCAGGAAGGCCAAAAATGTTTTTATTGCGTATATCGGTCGTAAATGAGTTTTCCTTTTAAAATAAAATTAAGATAATTAACTTGAACACGTTTTTCATTAAAAATTGACACACCAGCCATTAAGCTGTTATTACATCATTCAAAATAGATCAGATGGAAAAAAAAAATACAAAAACAACAATAAGTCGTGAGAATGGAGAATGATAAGACGTAACAAGACGGTATACATAAGTAACGAGGAATCAAAACGGAAGGAAGATGAAAAGTACGTTCGTACATGTGTATGTATTATATGTACGTAATTGCACGTATACGGTAATGCACAGATTAGGAGCTGAGAACGGAGTTTGGGTGCGAAATCGCACCACGGAAGACTCCTAATCCTTATTTGATCTTTTTGTAGCTCCAAAGCGAAGGGAATAGCTGTTGACTAAAGATTCGCACATTAATAAAAATAATAACAATATGTGCATTGCATCGTTGGTACACGTATACGTAGCCACCATATAATATACAAAAAAGTATACTTAGTTCCGCTCGCTCGAATAAAATGCGAGCGCGCCAAGTACAATAAGTATGCTGCACTTTCCCGTATATACCAGCTACACCACACTCGTATAGGCAAAAAAATCACGGCGTCGCGCGCCAATGACCTATAGCCCATAGCTGTGAAAGAGGATGCACCTTCATAAAATACATTTCCGAGTGTGTAAGCGGTATAAGGTATACCTATAACCACACGTATACGTATAATCTACAATGTACAAAATAGGTACATATACTTAGAGAGAGAGAGAGAGAAAGAAGGGAGGGCTGCTGCAGTTTCTCGAATAGCACGAGCATTAGAACCGATTGCATTCTCCTCCTCGGGTTGGCTGGTGTATATATAGGTATATATTATATACGCGGGATCGGTATATTGATGCGGCGGCTCTCGCTCGAAATGGCCCCGTCGTCCCATCCCGGCCGAGAGAGGAGCTCCAACAACAACACTCGCACGTACGCGTTCGCGTCGCGTGGTTGCTGTCCAAGGCTGCCGCGGCTCTGCTCTTCCTCTTTCAAAAGTACCCGTGTACTTATATATACAGTTGCAATTTCACCCGCGAATCGCTTTCTAAGCCCTGCATGGTTCGGACCGTTTTTGAACTTTTCGCCGCTGCCTCGGATTTTTCTCTTTGACTCGATTTTTTTTTCTTTCTTTCTTTTTCTACTTCTTGCGACTGGACACTGCATCAGGTACTTACGAGTTTCTTACAAATATTTCACTCTTCGAGTTTCAGTGCGACAAAAAAACAATAAAATCTTCTTGGCATGCATGTCATTTGGTGTGTGTCTTTGGATAGCTTCGTTTTGTCACCTTAGAGTATCATTGTAACGAGTGAGTGAAAATATTAACCCCGAGTAATTTGTTTCGAAACTAGAAAAAAAAAAAAACATTTATATACATTTTATGACAATAATTTAGGGCAACAATAATTGAAAGAAAAAAGGAAATATTTTATCGAGTTGCTTTGATTTCCAGGGATGGCGAGCGTCGTACCATGGCTAATGACCATGTCGTTGCTGGGCTTCCAGGAGTTTGCCGAGCCCGCGGATTCGAGCCCCAGAGTTCCCCAGGACACGGAGGTACCGGCAATGCTGCCGCAACTTCCCTCCATGGATTTCGTCATGGTAAGTTGATTTTCCATCCAGATTTTGTTTCTTTTTGCTACAACCACCAAGGATAGTTATCGCGACGCGCATGTTGTGGTGTCGAGACGAGGTCTCTATTTGGTATATACACGGGGATATCGGAGAAATCGATCTCCGCGCGGAGACTAATTTCTCTCTTCCTCCGTAAACAAGTAAATTAACTGCTCCACATACCGGAGAAGCGCGTAAAGACCGGCTCGTCGATTAATTTCGGATTATTCATGTATATTATAATGTACACGAGCGGGTGAAAGAAAAATGAATAGGAGACACATGGCGAGCGACGCCTTATTTAAAATAAAAAGGAAACCAAGAGCTAAGCGACAATTTTATTGCATAAGTTATGAACAAACGCTGTACGTGCTAGTATAAAAACCGATTGATTGAATCCCAAAGCCATCGACGACGTCGTTCGACGACCCGGCCTTTGGACAGGAAGAACCACCGGCGGCGCACAACTGCGACTTTCCTCGCAACCACAATCACGACAACGCAATCAAACAGCAACAACAGCAGAGCACAACGGACAAGCCGCACGGATTTTTGATAGATCCGAACTTTGTGACGATGCAGATCAACAACAACAAGGTGAACGCCAAGCAGCCGGATGGCAAAAAGAAGAACGAGCGCAACGTCGATGCCTTCCAAACGGTCGCCAGCTCGAACGCCATACTACCCGGGAGCAAAACCAGCGCCAATCTTCTCAGTAATCACAACGCCAACGGCAACAATCATCTGTTGCACCACCAGCCCAACAGGATCAATCAGAGCGATAGGTTTTTCAAGGATGAGTTTGCCGGCCCGGCTCTGCAAGTGGTATCAAACTTTTTATTTCGCCACTCGAAATGGACTCTCTATTCTGTTTCGTGGGAAAATTTTTTTATTACTATGCATCAAACAACATGAATAAGAGAGGGTTTTGATCATCAATTTCATTGGAATAAAATTGTGACTCTTAAAATTTAAGGAAAAAAAAAAAAAAAAATAGCCCATTGTAAATACTCGGTAATATGTGATTGCAGAAGAAAGCTTGGAAAACCATGGACTTTGAATTCGAGAACCAGGAGCACAAAAACAGTCTGCTGTACAGCGGCACCTTCATACCCGAGAACAATCTTCCTCTCGGCTTGGAGGTGTGGAAAGACAAAGTATTCATCAGCTTGCCGAGGTGGAAAAAAGGCATTCCCGTAATACAACGAATCATTTTGATTAAAAAAAAAAAAGTTGAATCGATAAACAAACAAAAAAAACTAATCGGTAACATTTTTTTTTTTTTAAAGGTCACGCTCGCCACGATATCCACCAAGACGGCCAGCAAGAGCCCGAAGCTCAGGCCTTATCCCAACTGGAGGTGGCACCACTTGGGTAATTCAAAATAAAAGAAAAAAATTTTAACAATTGAACCCACGAAAAAAAAAAATATGTGTTTTCCCTCCCAGGAAACTGCCAGCTGCTGACCTCGGTCTTCCGCATGCAAATAGACGAGTGCGACAGGCTGTGGGTGCTGGATAGCGGAAAAATCGACGTCACGAGCGATCCCAAGCAAATCTGCCCGCCAAAGATCTTTATCTTCGACCTGAACACGGACGAGCTCATCCGCTCGTACTCGCTGCCTCCGGACCAAGTGAAAGACGACTCGCTCTACTCCAACATCGTCGTCGACGTGAGGAACGATCAGTGCGACCGAGCGGTGGCCTACGCCTCAGGTCTCGATCGATCGATTGGTTTTTCAAAATATTTTTTTTTTCCACAAATTTTTCAAAAAGTAATCGTGGCTGGTTTTTCGGTTCACAGACGTATGGCGCTTCGGGCTCGTCGTTTACGACTTCTTCAACAACGATTCCTTCCGCATCCAGCACCATTACTTCTTTCCCGACCCGCTGTCCTCGCGGTACAATCTCCACGGTCTCGATTTTTACTGGACCGACGGGCTCTTTGGGATATCGCTAACTCCGGTCGACATCCACGACGAGAAGACCATGTTCTTTCACCCGATGTCGAGTTTCCGCGAGTTCGCGGTCCCGCTGTCGGCCCTGAGGGACAAGAAAACGGCCGAACTAAGCGCGGAAAAATTCGTACCGGTTGGCAAACCCAGAGCCAAGGACTACGGGCATTCGTCGGCCTCGACAATCGATCGGAATGGCGTTATGGTAATGGACCATTGAAATTGTTTATTGCCAACAATAATATTAATATCTTTGTGTGTCTTTAGTTCTTCAATATGGTAACTCGTGACTCGGTGTGGTGTTGGGACTCGCGAAAGGAGTATTTGCCGAGGAACCTCGGAGTGATAGGCACGAGCAACGTCTCGCTCGTCTTTCCCAACGACATCAGAATGGACCACGAGGAGGACCAAAACGTGTGGGTTCTGTCCAACAAGCTGCCCATGTACCTTTACGGCGGTTTGAACAAAAACGAGGTCAACTTCCGGATTCTCAAGGCCAACGCCAGGGATGCGATTAAATCGTCCGTCTGCGATCCCACCTACATAGTGCCAGAAACTACTGCACCGATCTACGACGGCTCCTGCTGCTGAGAGAATTATAACCATCAGTATCGTTTCGTCCCATGCCGATCATGGCCGATCAATTTTTTAACATGATTTTAGTTGCGATTTTACCATATACGTACAAACATATACATGAATATTTAAAGGAGTATGCCTATACACTTAAACATCATAAGTCGATTAGTTTGTAAACCATGAGCGTGTGTTCAAGTGCATGAAATCAAATCTTACTGTAACAATATATACAACATACCATGATTTTGTAGAGTATGTTTATTACACATATATTATCAACAGGCGACGACTGTCGAACAGGTTTTAATGAAATTTTATATCAAATGTAGCTAGTAAGCCGATATATGTTTAAACGCGACAATAAATTTATTACATGTATATACCTGGAAACCAGCGATTTATCTATTTATCACTCTACATTTGGTTGTTTTTCATGCGCACATATCACATTTATAAAGTATAAATTTTACTCACAAAATTGTGTCAATCCGCCGGAAAGTCTTCCATGTCGCTTCCATCGGAAAACGAGATAGTTTGGTCATTGAAGATATGCCAGGGTCTGTACTCACCATCGTCCAACGAATCCTCGCTGTCCCTCATCCACCTTTTCATAACATCTAAATCGAGTAGCTGCCGATTACCACTATTCGACACACGCGTTGTTTCCCTTTTTCGCATCGCACTTGCCTCAGCGTTACGCGATTCTTCAGCGGCCCGTAACAATGTACCGTAATAATCTTTTTCCCCACTCGCCTCGTGCAATCGCGCGCAGGCATTGTCTTCCAAGTCCGAACTGCTTAACTCGACCTCTTGCGCATCCTTGTCGCCTTTGGCCAAGAATGAGGACACGAATTTCGAGACGTCTTCGATTTGACCGCAGTTCTTGTTGTCACTATCGTCGTTTGTTCTCGAAAGCCCGGCTGCAGTACCCGTGAGAGACGAACCCACGAATAAACTCGAGTTCTGCGACATAATCGTTCCGTCGCTGTTGTATTCCATTATATTTCCCGAGGTGAGACCCTCCCCCCGTCGCGAGTGGTGCATCGGTCTGCTCCTCGTTTTGGTGTTTTTATCACCATTTTTGCGAGCCGTCGAACCAACCGGCTCGCTTGTACGATCGATCTCGGTTTTCTTATTTGCATCGTCGTGGCCAACCACATTGCACACGTAGGTGTCCCGGGCTCCGATGATATGTTCCTTCGGGCCAGCCACCAGGTAGTCGAGCGTGTCGGTGTTGCCGTTCTTGAAAATCGGCGATCGGTCTCGAGGGTCGCGTCTCGTCGTAAAGTCCTCGACGACGGACATGACCTCGCGCGATGACGCCAGCAGCTGTTCCATCTGCTCGAGCAGATGGGTGGTCACGCGTCTCCGTTTTTCCGCCTCACTGCAGCTGTTGTCGCGCGCTCTCTCGACGATACCATCCTCCTCGAAGACGAAGACTCCGTCGTCCGTCGATGGTATCTCGATGTCGTGGTCGCGTTGCGAGGGCAGGGCCCGCTCGAAGCTTCGCCAGTCAGTGGACTTGATCACTTCGGCCATGCTCAGGGCGACGCACTGGAAGATCGGGTAGGGCTCGCTCGCGTCCGGACCCAGGTGGAAGCCGCGCTCGCTCTCGTCGCTGAAGGAGAAGGCGTTGCGCAACAAGCAGAGGGTCTCGTCGTCGGCGATAACGAGCTCGCTCTCCTCTCCCGGGTCGGCTCTGGACGGGCTTGCTGGTTTTCCGTGGCTCGTCGACGCCCCCGAGGAGGCGGGGCTGTTGTTCCAGTCGATGTTACGGACCGTCTCCCTCATGCTTTGGGACTTCTTGGGGGCCTCGAGAACTCCGATCCCTCGGTTTACGGGGTTCGCGGGGCTTCCAACGACATCTCTGGCGCTCTTCCGATGCCGATCGAGCGTAGTTGTGTCTTCCAGCGCTCCGTGGCCCGTCAGCTTGGATTTCTTTTTTTTCTGCAGCATCTCCCGCCTGTCCAGTTCGAGAGTCAAGCCATTGTAGGCCTGGAGACTGCGCAGCTCTCGCGCGTTCTGATTTTCGGTGAGCTCCGTCCGAAACTTCTTCGAACGATCTTGATGGGATAGGTAGATTTTTTTCTTCTCACAAGTTACACTTGTCTGTGGAAACTTGGTCAACTCGACGATACTCGAAGCTCCATCAGCCTCTGTACCCTCACGATCGTCGAGACTATAACTTTTTCCTTTGTATTCGTCGTGGGTCATTCCTCCCTCGCGTTGAAGCTTACCAAAGCCAAGGAAAGAGCTCGCTTCCTTCAGAAACGGATTACCATCGAGGGTGGACTCGAGCTTGTGGTGGAACACCGACCACTTTTGGCTGCTGTTTCTTGACGCGCTCTGGCTACCGTTTCCCGACGCTCTGCACATTTCGCTCAGCAGCTGAAAATTTTTGTTCAAAAGAAAATGAAAGTTGTCGCTCCTCTTGTAGTATGCGTCCCTTCTAAGACTCAGAACCCGAGACGCCGACGGAGCGAGGGCCATCGTCTCTGGCGGGGACTTTTCCGTGATGCTCGATTTTTTTGGCCGTTTACTCCCGCTGTGGCGGACTTTCCGGATAACTTTCGCGTGTGCCCGATCGACACCCTTCTTGTCCTCCCGAGGTTGCTTTGAGGGCTTCTTCTCATCTTCCGAGCTCGAGCAGGTGCACTTGCTGCTCAAAAAGTCATCCAAGGACGGCCCGTGTTCTGTTTTCGCGTCGCTCGAATCCTCCAACGGACCGGCGTTTCCCCTCTCCTCGATCTCGGCACTCCTATCTGGGATCCCCACCTCGTGCTCCGGCTCTTCTTTGGCAAGTTTCATGGGTGTGTCGATAGTCGACGGCAAGCTAGATGTCGAACTCGCATCACCGGCCAGCGACGCGAGCGACCTAGCTACTCGTGGTTCCTTGGATCCGTTCGAGTCGACCGAAGACTGGCTCGCCGTTGCTGACACGTTCGGCGAGCTGGAGCACGCCTGGAGCTGGTTCTTGTGGAGATCCCTCTGGCGTCGGTACTCGAGCTCTCGCAGGTTAAGGTAGAACTCGAAAAATACGTACCAATTGTACAAGGCGATCGCTGAAAAATGTTCAGTGGGTGCGTTATTATTTTTACTATGAAGTTCAAAAGTGCGCGAGTAGGTTATGTACTTACAAATGTTGATCATCTCGACGAAGAGGAACTCGAGGAAGAAAACCGTGGAGATGACGTTGTCGAAGTACAGGACGCTAATCAGGCCAAAGGACAGTATTTTCGGGAGCATCGTGTTCACCGCGTGTATCACCAGCCACGGGAGCAGGGCATCCGAGCGGCTCATCGTGATGATGGGATACAACTTGAGGAGGTGCGCGAAAGGATTGAGGAGTCCGCAGAGGAACTCTATCACGACGGTGGTGGATAGCACTGGAAAAACGAGCATCGGGTGGATGTAAGTAAACCTATAGGTGCAGATTTTGCAGCTTTTATAGGTCACTGCAGTGACTTACAACTTTTGACAAACGCCGTGATCTTGACGCCAAAGTGAGCGCTGTCGAACGAAAGGTCACGGATCACGTTCAGGCGCACCATGAGCTCGAAGGGTTTCCAGTCCAGAGTCGAGTTCGCCTTGGACGGGAAACGACAAAGTGCACGGGATTGTTTATTCATCACCGCGATAATGAGATCCCAATCGTATTTATGTTTAATTTTACCATTCCCAAGAGTGTTATGACGACCAATTCGGTCTGCAGTGATAAGCCCAGGCTTTGGAGAAGGGCCATTTGACGTGGTTAACTTTTTTTCGGCCCCCGTCGTGTCGAACATAATAATCGACTGGTCTCACGTACTATTTGTCCTTTTACGTACATTGGCTGCAATTTTCATCATATATACTTAATTGTGTTTAGGTTAAATGATAATTTTGACTTCTGAAACTCTGCGCGTGTGTGTTTAGGTACTTTGAGAGAAAAAAAAAATAATAATAATAAATGCCGGATCAGCCGGATGTCGAATGGCCGGCCGGTGACGTAAGAATTGCGTTCGAACTTTTGAATTCGTCTGCATACTTGGGGACCATTTTTATTGTTTGAGATTATTACGTCGACAAATTAATTGTGAAAATGTTTGCAATACCTATAAATCTTGTGAAACTTTAATTGTTGTAGATTGGAAAAATTAAAAAAAAATATATTTCGAACGAGACAAAAAACTTTCTTCCAGAACACATGTTTGTTTAAACCGTGGTTATTTTGTAAAATTATCGCGAAAAATAATAGTTTTCACCATATGAGAGTGCCATCGCCGCCATCGAAGGGATTACGCGTGAATGCCATTACTACCTTTTTTTTTGAAAACACCGCCAATAGCGCTAAGATCGTTTTGGCGGTTTTGTTGGGTTTTGGCCCACTGACCGGCTGATGGTGCAATTGTGCACTTTCTCTCTTTTTCATGTTCAGCGTTCAGCTTTTGAAAAATAGTCTGCTCCGTTCAGTTTGCCTTCTGTGTCGTACATCGTAAGATATATTCTTATTGTATGGGATTGGAAGATTGTTAACTTGAACCTCATATTTGTAAGGTATGTTAATTTATTGCTGAAATAAAATTAAAATTTTAAAATAATTTTGCTACACCTTTTATGTTAAAAAATGTTTCAAGTAGGCGCGCGAGTTAGGTTATGGGTGAATACTCATGCCGTGAAATGCGAGTAGTGCACTTGTAATCCACTGTTAATTAAAAAATCATCAATGATTAATAACATAAACTTGAAAAACTAATTAGTTCAATTATTAAAGAGTCACATGCTTGAAATCTTTTTTTCATTTGGCTGACTTTACTTATTAAGGATTAATATTTCACATCAATCTTATGCCGTTCCTCATCATGTCTGTTTATTGCATTGTTTACAGGTGGTTGAGTCTTATCGCTTATTGAAAGTTATTCTGGCAAAGAAAAATTTGTGCTCAGTTTGATAATCGTCAACACTATGGCACCTCGATTAGCACAAGGTGCTAAAAATAAATTGAAAAATGCAAAGAAATTGAACAAAAGTGACTCCAAAACGAGTGAAGAAAAAAAAGTTGTAAAAACAGCTGTAACGAAGTTGTTCAAGAAGAAAAAAACTAATGAAATTGAAAAAAGCATACCTGCGTCCAAAAAAGAACTCATCAAGAATAGTTTGGCTGGAAAAGTTAAAAACAAAGTTGTCAATGTAATAGAAGAAATACCCGTTAAAGTTTCTAAAGTAAAAGACCGTGTGGTTAAAAAAAAGGTTGCAAATTCAACCAAGTCAGTCGCTACAACGACAAACGTAAATTCTAAACAGAAATTAAAAAAGAAGAAAAAACTTGGCAAAATCAAAGTTGAATCGCCACTTTCACCCAAGATGAATGAAAAAGAAGCAAGAAAAAAGAAATCTGTGACTAAAACAGTAAAAAAATTAAGTGTGGTTAAAAACAGTGAAAAAAATGTTGATGCTGCAAATAATAAAAATACTTCTACCAAAGTGAGTAGTGGATTAACTAAGCAGCATAAGAAGCAAATATCCAAGTCCACAGGTTCAAAAAAAACTAAAAATATCAACAAAAAATCCCAAGATCTAAAGATAAGTGTGCCAGCAAAAAAAGATAAATCAAAAAAAAAACTTAAACTCAATTCTGAAAAATTAATAAAATCTGAAAAAAATGAGGAAGTCAAAATTATGAAATCAAAAAAAAGAAAACTAAGCGATACGCCAAAAGAAGAGAAAAAAGTTCCGGACAAACCTCCTTCAAAAGCACAAATTTTAAACTATGTTAAAGGATTTTTGAAATATATTTCGAATGAAGAGAAAAAAAAGAAACTTCTTTTGGAATTGGAAAAACCCCCTGTATTCTTACAAGTCACGTGCATTAAAGTGCCCAAAGCACCACTTCACCAAATGAGGATGTAAGTTTTTTTTTTTTTTTTTTTTTTTTTTAATTTATATTTACAAGTTGTCGACTGACGTTATTAAAACAAGTTGTTTGAATACGAGATTACAAAGATAACGAATAAGAGTAGGAAAACAAATTAAAAAAGCGCGTGCCTGTCCAAAATTTGAGATTTTAAATAATAACAAACAAAGTGACGGAATAAANTGGTTCAATTAACCGATGATGTAGCTTTATTTGTGTCAGATCTCAAAAAAGGAAGGAGAACTGATTATGAACCAACAGTTCGCCATTACGAAGATCTTTTGCGGGAAAAAGGATGTACTGGAATAAAGGCTGTCATTCCAATGAATCAAGTCAAAACAGAATATAGACAGTTTGAAATGAGGAGGAAATTATTGGGTTCATATGACTACTTTCTCATTGACGGCCGCATTTCTGGACATATGGCTCATTTACTTGGTAAAACATTCAAGGCAAAAAGAAAACTTCCTGTTTCAATTCACATAGAAAAGAAGGATTTAAAGGCTGAAATAGATACTGCTCTGAGAAAGACAAGTTTGGAGATTCATAGTAACGGCGATAGTTCGATTGTTCAGATTGGCAAATGTTCAATGAGCGCAGAAAAACTTACTGACAACATATTAGCAGTTGTGGAGAAATTAAGTAAAGACTATCCTGGAGGCTGGGAAAACATCAGATCATTAAGAATTAAAACTCCAACAAGTCTTGCGATTCCTATTTATATTACTTTGAGTAAGTTTGAAAAGTGTTTATCTCATATTAGTAAAAAATATTACTCTGAAATAATTACAGCACATGATTATACATTTAAGAATACCAATGGATCCTTATGAGATACAATGATTATAGACCTATTATGAATATGAATCATTACCAACGTTTTCGTCATGATTACGTTTGGTACAAAGTACTAAAAATTGAATTTTTTTTCCAGAATCCAAAAACAATGTAAATGTTCCTGTTCAACAACCAAAACGACCCAAAGCCTACAAAGAAGTTAGAGGAGAATTGTCAACCTTGACAGGCAATGTTGAAGTTATTGTTGCACCTGATGGTGCTGTTGCAGTTCAAAGGTTGAACAACGATAGCGACACTGAAGAAGATACTTCAGAAGTTGAAGAAAAACCACCAAAAAAATTAAAAAGTGATAAGGACGATAAAGATGAAAGTGAAAGCGATTAAACAGTTGTAAATATAACTTGAATCTTTTGTAATTAGTTTTTACCAAGTTAAAATTTATAAAAATAATTAAAATGTTATTTTCTATATTAAAATTGTAAATAATGTTGACAAAACATCTTGACTTTTTTGTACGACTTTGTAAAGATTTTTCGAGCTCGTTATCACGTATCACCTGTGTGATATTACCTACTTGCCTTAAACGTGCAAAACAATTACGTGCGGTACACATGCCTCGTTTTCGGTATTACTTCAGTAAAAGATACATACATTAAGATGTAAAATAGACCATACTAATTATGTCGACCGCTGTATTGTTAGCCTACAAAAACAGCACAGGATTCTTAGCAAATTTTGTCACTTAGTTCTCCTAAAAAGAAATGGAAGATAATCAGAGGCCTCCTTCAACAACAATGCACAAATATGTCAAAGTTTCTCAAGTTCACTTGGAACAAAAAACTAATCCTTATGTTCAAATAAATGACGGGTACAAGTAATGCGTATTCAAAAGCACGGCTTCACCTAATAGGAATGTAAGTAATTTTTTTTTTTTTTTTATAAATACTAGTCAATTTCACGTGATTATACACATTAATAATACCAATGGATCCTTATGAGAATCATGATTATAAACTTGTATGACGAGCTACTTATAAATATTTTTTCCTATTTAGTTTTTTGATCATGTCATAGAATATTAAACATGTTTCAGATTACTTGCTCACAATATGGTTCTACCAACCGATGATATAGCTTTACATCCTATAGCTCGGAAAAACTCGGATCTTGAAGAATTAAATCTCCAACTGGCCTTGCGATTCTTCATTACATCATATTGAGTAAGTTCGACAAGTTTTAGTCTTCTGCTTGTATAAAATGTTATGAAATAATTACAGCACATGATTATACATTTAAAAATACCAATGGATCCTTATGAGATACCATGATTATAAATCAATTATGAAATAAAACATTAACAACATAAATCAATTATTTATTTGTGCAATCTACTAGAAATTCAATTTCTTTCCAGAATCCAGAAGCAAGAGAAAAGTTCTTGTACAACAACCTAAAGCTGAAAAAATAAAGTACAGACGTCTACCTTTACAATCAAAGTTCATGTGTGTGTTGGACGTGAGGATTCAGTTGCAGTTCGTAAGCTGAGCAACAAAGACGATTCAGAAGTTGATAAAATTTGTTAATACTTTATTAAAAGTGTAAATAAATGCATCTTCACTCTTGTACAATAAGTTGCATTACGTACTATACGTATTATTCGTAAAATTCAAATAAAAAACTTGCAATAAAAATTTTTTTGTTAGTATTCTTAGACTAGTAGATGTAGAAATTGCTTCAACGTCATATTCTATAAACATACGATTTAATATAAAATTGTTTGATCTTTTTTGGATATACTTTGGTAACTGTTAGTCGGAGTAATCGGAACCGTGCTTCCGTTGGCATGCTGCATAGATTTGTGTCCTGTATCACTGGAAAAGTTGGTAGGTGTGTGTAACACTACCTCGATCTCCTGGTAATTTTGTAGTCTATCAACATCCTTGTCTCGTCTGATTCTCGTGTTTGGTAATTTTCTCAATTTAGCTATTTGAGCTTGATTGATTCCCAATTCATCACAACACAATTTGATCAGATTCTGATAAGTTAAGGCATTACAAGGAAGATCGACTTCTATGAAATCAGTATCACTTGAGTTTTCAATTCTGATCTTCAATACTAATTCTGTTGAACAGATGTGAAAAAATAAGTACCATCGATGAAATTAAAATATTAAGATTTGAATAAAAAGCCTTACCTTCACAACTAACAGCTTTGTTCTGATAGGGATGGTCCATATCTACTCTGCTGCTCAATGGAGGATTCTTCAGATAAGCAGGCGCGAAGCTAGGCGAGTCTTGCAAGCAGGTACTCGAAGAATCTGCCAGCAGCTGCAGAATGTAAGGATTTGTTGACACGGATGCGGGTGTCGCGCCCTTGTCGGACTTGACGTTCCTGTCTGCTCCGCTTTTCAGTAGCAGGGCCACGACGTCCAAATAATTTCTCTTGCATGCCCAATGCAGTGGTGTCCTGCAATAATTAACAAAATAGCACATATCATGAAAATTCAAAGGTATTGAGACATGTCCGTTGGTTGCATATATACCATCCGTTAATCGCATGATTGACATCAACGCCCAGATTTATCAATTCCTGAACAGCATCTGTGTCCCCTATGCAGGCCGCCTCCCTCAGCTGCTCCTCTAAGATTCTTTTCTCGTCCATGGCTCACTTATTCATCTTGACTTTTAAATCTAATTCTGTTTTCCTGCCTAGGGCAACTGATTAATTCGTTGGATTAATTATTTAACAAGTACGTACTTTTTCATAACTTTAAATGTAAAAGGTAACAGTATAAAATGCTATCACTTGACTTGCATTGCACGTATTATATGCACAGTTGAGTTGACTTGACAGTCTTGACACCTTAACTTATTTGGCAATGTGTATATAGCACACGCACGTCACTTTTCAATACCACACGCTGTCGTTGTCATCCGAATAAACAAATGTGTTAGGTATTTGTTTACACGAATGATCAGAACGTATTGCGTTTAAAATTTAAATATTCAAAATTGATCAAACGTGAATTATAAAAATTTTTACATAAATGATATTGACTTTCTCATTTTTTTACAAGAATTTTTTTTCATCTATATGACATTGAGTCGTCTGCTAGTCTACATGATTCGAGGCTAGCGCGCAACACCATGAATATTTATGTATACATACACCGTTACGTTAAACAGTGATTAGTTTTAATTACTGAAGCATTAATAGTGTTACCATTTTAATTGTTTAAAATTGAGAAGTATGATATAAAATTTAATTAAGTTGTTTCAAAATTAAACTTTTCTTGCCGGTTCGAAGACATAACCCTTTAGTGATATTTATCATTTAGTTTTTTGGATTCGATAACACCATGGCCAAATCTTTATTACAACTTTCGATGACATTGAAAAATACCACAATATTACCAAAATATTTCAGCACTGTCAGAATGTGTTACGGCAGAAATGAACTTGCAGGTATATTTTTCAACGACACTGTTACTTGATGGGTCACGTTGACTATATCTTTTATTTATTTCATTTTTTAGAAGTAAAGGGTGAAAGTCAAGGTAAAATCAGAGGCGCCTCTGTTAGGGAACTGTTTGATGTTTTACAAAAAGACATAAATCCCTCGACCCTTCTGTCAAACATTGAAGAGAATAAAAGTTTCGTTGATGGAAGGCATGTTGTTACGGCCTTGACTTCGATGCATAAATATTACAAAGAAAACTCCGTCCCTCCAGAAGAAATTCAGAATAGCGTGCATTTTCAGACGATATGTTCTACTCTCAACAGGCACCTTCGAACTCTAGGCACGCCACAGATACTCCAAGCCATCAAAATTTTTAACTTAGTTGGGGTTCCAGCTTCAACTACGATCATGCAATCGCTTCTCCAATTATTGAGAAAGTCAATCAACGACTTGAATTTGAGTGATATTTTTTTCCTTTCGTTTTTATTGAAAAAGTTGGAAAACAATCATCTGAGTGATGCACTTAAAATCGCTCTACCAAAAGTATTTAAAGCACAGTATAAACTACAACTGGACACGGATAATATTAGAGAACTAACTAGAGCATTGAGATTTGCAAGTGAATATATGCAAGACACACAAGTCATTACATATATTGTCAATGCCATTGACGATTATCCAGGACCTATAGATATTGATTCTGCCGTGTACACTTTTTGGTCACTTTCTGAAGTTCAAAGCTTATCAAACAGACATTCACGTGTTTTACATAAAGTGACGAAAGTAATTGCAGACAATGTTGATATAATGAATTTATTTGAAGTAACAAACATTCTGGCACAAATAGTAAAAGGATCATGTGGGTATGTATATTAGATATAAATGGTTTCAAAGAGTTTGTTACACAATATTTTTTTCCAGGTCTTCTGATTTTTACAAACCTGTTCTTATCGACAAGCTCGTTGACAAAATGATTTCCACTGACTGTGCATTTGATAAAACGATTCGGACTCTGAATAATTTAAACAAATTGAGACATGTCAACTTGAGACTTTTGGATTATTTGTCAACCCAGTGCTGTAAAAATCCAAAAATTTTATCCGAATGTCATGCTCTATCTCTGATGACGTTATCTGTAGGATTTGCACAAGCCAATTATAAGCCAAAAAAATGGAACGCATTAGCTAAACTACTTGTTAAAAATCACGAGCGATTGTTACTGAATATTGAAAATTTGTGTTATTATGCAGTTAATTTGGTATCATTGGATCTCTTTGATTCAAGTATCTTTGCAAATATTTTTAGACAAGGTCGCAATCATGAACTATTCAAAAATATTCTGGGTAATAAATTAAAAAAATTATACATTAGTGTAAAATATTTATGCCCAGAATATTCTGGTCCGTGGCCTTCCGATGAAGTAATACAATCTTTTAAATGTGCATCAATAACCGAGTACAGGAAGCCAGATGATTATCCATTGCTTCCAGCTCTAGAAAACTTACTGAAAAATCCATCCTATATAAAAACTGATTTGACGACCGAAGAAGGAATTTACATCGGTAATCTTTATAGATTTTCCAGAAATTTTACTCTTTGCAAGAATGTCTTTTAATATAAATTTTTTTTTTTTTTAGNGAAAATCCCGCAACGCCGGTTGTTGGATTACACGACGACCAACGCGTCAGCTGGACTTTCTAATAATTTACAATTTTGGCTCCGCGAGTATATATATTCTGGACCTCATCGTCGTCGTTGTTGTCCACCAACTTGGGCCGTTTGGCTATTTGGGGCACGGGTTAGCTAGAAGACCTGTTGAATTTAACTTTATCGAATCCGGAGATTCAAATGCCACTATTAACATAGAAGACTTGAATATTCCGAAAGAGTTGACGCGGTAATTATATTTTTTTAACTTGAAGGAGGTAAAATAAAAATATTCAACCGACCAAATATTCATATTGATCAATAGAGTTGCCGTCCTACTATTACCACCTGAGGTTTATGGCAAGAACGTACAAATACTACAAGCACCCGTTTCTTTGAATATAAAATTATTGGAGGCTCTGTCGTACGAAGTAGTAGCTGTATCCCAGGAAGTGTGGAATCGCATGCCGGAAAATGAATTAGTTCCTTATTTGAAAAGTTTACTTTGCATCGAAACGGAAGCATCGCAAGCCAAAGTTTGTGACAGGTAGATGAACCTTACATGCATATAATAGTTGTAAATAACGATTAATTTTTATAAATTGCATAGATCGTTGTTATCGCTTGTTTTTCAATTACAATTTAAAAAAAAAATTCAATACCCTCGTTCATTTTTTTTTTTTTTCGACTCTTAAGCAGGTTACACAGGTAAGAAATAAAAAAACAATTACATTTTATAGAAATGTACAAAAATGTATTTATATAACATGTAAAAAAAAAGGTACAAAAAATCTGTTTAAAAAAAAAAACAAACATATATACAATGATACATTACTACAGAAAATATCTACAGTCGCGGATGCTCGTTTGACTTTATCATAATTCTCCTTTTTTAAAATCTATTTACTTGATCATTTCGTATTATTTTTATTACACATAATATATAAAAAAAAGTTAAAAAAAAAAAAAAAAAAAAACTACACTGTTGACACAATCAACCGCCACACTGTAGGTATTCGCGTCGGCAATAATAAGTATATAAGGTATATCTGATCCCTCAATTCAATCTTTTTCTCACGCACACTCTCTCTTTCTCTCGGGCTCGCGCGTCCTTTCACGCCTACTTCCGACCTTTTATCGCGTATCTCCATCTCACCATCGAACGTGATTCAAACTAACGAGAGAAAAAAAAAAAAAAAAAAAAAAAAAAAAAAAAAAACAACAAATGCATCGAATTGTGAATCAGAGTTGTTGGCACAATTATCAAAGAAGGGGGAAAAAGAAAAGAACGCGGCTGATTTGCATCGATCGGCCGATGGAATTTGCACGTTGCCTCGAAGTGAAAGTCGCAAAAAAAAAAAAAAAAAAAAAACAAGATCGAGGCTCGAATCCTCTCCCAAAAAGGTATATTATGTATATATACGCTCGTTCTCATTTCCGGATGGTATACTCGACGAAAAGCCGTCAGTGGCCGGCGCTGTCCATGGGATCCTCGTCCGCGTCCGAATTACTCTCGGCCGCGTCGACGAAGGCCGACGACAGGTCACCCGCCAATTTGCTCACGCTCTCCGACGCCACGTCGTACATGAAGATCTCCTTCTCGCCACTGCTGCTGCTGTCCTTGCTTCTGGAAAATTGCAATTTTTTCCTTCATTACTCTTCTGTGGGGATAAAAATGCGTGTGTTTCGCAATCTAGACTCCGGTAGAACAACGAGCAACGGGCTCGAGGTGCGAAATTGCGTACACTTTAACGAGGACTGCACCGCTCGTTTATCATTTGGTTGGAAAAACAATAAAAAGTAAACAATCGGTGTTTGCGCCCCGGTGCTCGTGTATCACCTACACCCACGAATCTGATAATTTCGCGCAACAATATAAGGCATACGTTGAGAACTATGAGTGCACAACATATTTATGCAAGTATGAGTAAATTCCTCCTTTTATAATGTCGAGCCCATCGGCGCGCGCGTTATTCCAGTGGGTCTTTTATATACATCATGTATACGGCTCGGGCGCTCTAATTTCCGCGCACTTTTGCGAAACCTCGAAAATCGCAACTCTCTGTCCTGGATGAACGCAGGTGCACGTGTACCGCAAGCGCGAGCGCATTATTAAATTACTTTTTTCTTTTTTTTTTTTTTTTTCTTCTTTCCCATCTCGCAAGAGACGCGGCCTTCTTCTTCCCTTTTTCTTTGGTTCTCAAAGGTGTTGTGTATATACGACGCGTGCACCAAGGAAACGCCGAATCTCTCGATCGCGCAAAAAGCTACGAGAGGAAAAAAAAAAAACCATTCGGAGCATCAAAATTAAAAGCAGCAGCTCGCTCTTCGTTAATTGGCGAATACGTATATATATATATACGGCTTTGGCGCAACCATCCTCTTTTTTTCTTTCCTCACCCCCTTGGTGCCCCCGCGCGATATATGATACATACCGATCGAGAGCAAAAAATAGAGAGAGCGCGCGCGCGCGCGTGGGTTGCAACATCGCCTACACGCGATTTTTTTCTTTTTCTTTTTTCGTTCAAGTTTGATGCGAACCGTTCGAGTGTTACCTACGCGTATACATATGTGCAACCACTTCATCCGCGAGATTTATGGTCCTTGGGCAAGATCCGCAGCTCCCCCCCCCCTTCAATTACGGCGCTTTTTGTAAACCCGCGTAACTCGAAGCTGCCCCTTATGTATTCGAAAAAAAAAGAGCGGCCGATCTCTCATTTATATACGTATATACATACGTATTGCGCGGACTTTCGAAACTTTTGAAAAACGGCAAAGAAGAGTCCGATGGGTGTTTTTTTATTTTTTTTTTTGTTGCATTTCGAGAGCTCTCGGGGCCGATTGCCGACGCACACTTGACAATAACAAGTATAATAATAGCGACTCACGTGGTGACGAGCAAAACGACGGACTGTCTCTGGGGCTCGGTCTGCCTCTCGTGGTCGAGCCATCGCTTGTAGTTCTCGGCCGAGGGTTTTCGCACGAGCTGCTTGAGGGACTCGCCCGCGAGGAACTTGATGGCCTGGACGTCGCCACCGGCGATTCTCCTCGAGTGCCTCGACTGGTCGGGTTGCTGCTGGCCGTAGTCGACGGGGGCGAGCACCACCACGGAGCCGATCCTTTTGCCGGTGAGCTCGGGCGCGTCGGGAATGGGGAACGAGGCCCCGCTGACTTTGAGGGGCAGGTAGCGGTTGTACTCGGTGGGACCGTTGCTCGACGGGGCCGACTCGCTGAGGCTGACGGGCCCGAGGCGGGTCGCGTTCTCCTGGATGTGGCGCTCGGCTATGCCCTGGCCCTGGGCGCTGTTCGGGTCGAAGCGCACGACCTTCATCTCGACGCCGCCCGGGCGTAGAGTCACCTCCTCCGTGCGGATGGCGTTTCTCGAGCCAAACGACGACGAGGAGGCACTCGCCGTCTGGACCTCATCGTCGTCGTTGTTGTCCACCAACTTGGGCCGTTTGGCTATTTGGGGCACGGGTTCGCTGGCCGAGGTGGCCGCCGCTCCCCCGGCGCCGTAAAAGTTGGCCAAGGCCTCGGGCGGCAGGTCGGCGATGTTGATGCCACCCACCTTGTCGTAGTCGAGGATCTGGATGTCGGCGTTGCCGAGGATGCCGGAGCTGAGGAGCTGCTGTCTTATGTCGTCCGGGACCTCGTCGGGCAGGTTGGCGATGTTCTCCCGGATCTTGGCCTCGTTTTTCGTTGACGGGGTCGTTGCCGGAGTCGGCGTCGTCGTCGTCGTGGTGGTGGTGGTTGTTGGTCTCGGTGTCGTGGCTGCGGGGGAGTGGCGGATGCTGTTCGGAGTCGACGCGTACTTGTCCGAGGAGGTCTTGGTCACGGGAGTAGCGTAGATTTTCTCGTTCGAGTTGTAGTGCTGTTTGCCCTGGAGGACGGCCCTGCCCCATATCGAGGCCGTCGCCGGGGGTGCGGGCTGCGGCGGCTCCGAGGGCCTCTGCTGCTGCGCCGTAGGTAGGTTTTGGGCAAAGAACTGCTGCTGGTTCTGGTAGTCCGGCTGCTGGTGGTACTGTTGTTGCTTGAACGCAGCGTTGCTACCAAACTTGGAGAATCCTGGGTGCTGGAGGGGGATCTGCTGCTGGTGCGTCTGCTGGATCAAGTTGGACTGCTGTAGCCCGATCTGGTTGTTGATGTTGCCGAAGGACGTCTGCGGGATCTCGGCGTACTGGGGGTTGGGCGGGAAGGGACCCGGATGAAGTGGATTCTCGCGGATGGCGTAGTGCTGCTCCAACTTCGGGATGGCTTTGAGGATTTCTCCGCTCTGTTGTTGTTGTTGTTGCTGCTGCTGCTGCTGGTACTGTTGGTACTTTTGTTGTTGCTGCTGTTCCTCCTGCTTGCGACGCTGCTCCAGTGCCCTGAGCTGCTCGTGGTGCCGTTGTTGCTCCTGCAGCCTCTTTTGTTCTATCTGAAGCCTCTGCTGGTCAAAGTAGCGCTGCTTCTCCTGTTCGCGCTGCTGCTGCTTCTCGTACTGCTGGCGGTGGGGATCGGCGAGGAAGTTCACCGCGGGACTCTGACTCGGCGGCAACTGGTGCAGTTGGACGTAGTTCTGGAGATGCGGGGCGGCAGCAAGCCTCTGTGGCTGAGCAAACGAGTTGAAGGGCAGACGCTGCTGGACCTCCGGCAGGCCCTGGACCGTTATCGCCGGCCTCTGTTGCGGGACAAATGATTGCTGGTACTGCTGGTTCCTCACCAGGTGGGGTGGCACCTGGAGGTGGTGAAACTGGGGCTGCTGGGCAAAACCGTTACCGGTAGGTACAGCCTGGGCAAACGAATTAACGACGCGCTGCTGGGGAAACCCAACGACGGTCGGGCCGACGCGCAGCGGCTGGAGGGGGGCGTAGGGCCCGTGGGTCCTCTGCTTGGAGCCCGGCGGGAGAAGAGCGGCCGGCTTGTTGGACGGCACCGAGGGCAGCTCGTTGGACGGCGGGGCATCCTCGTCGTCGTCGTCGGTCTCCTCCTGCAGCTTAGCGACGCCGCTTCGCTTGCTGTGGTTGTTGGGTGGCAGCTGGTCCGTACCGAAGGTCACGCGTAGCCCGCTGCCACTGTCCGCGTGGTAGACCTCGCTGTCCGGTCGGATGATGGCGCGCAAGGTGGTCGAGGGCTCCGGTGGGGCAGGGCTCGCGGGTGGCACCTCCTCCTCCTCCTCTCCCCCAGTGGCGTCGTTGTCGGGCTGGATCGTCTCGTGCTCCTCGACGGGCGTAAGTGCCGGGACGGGGACGTCGTAGACGACGCGCGGCTTGTCCTCGCCGTAGGCCTGCTTCTTCTCGTATTTGACGTAAAACACTTGGATGGGCTCCTTCTTGGGCTTGTGGAGGGAGGGCCGTGGGGGTGGCGCGGGGGTCGGTAGGGACTCGTTCGACTCCTTGATGATGATCTCGATGATGGGCTCGGGCTCGGTTGGGTAGTAATTGTTGTAAGGTATGGGCTCCTCGTAGTAGCCCGTGGCAGCGGGGACGAGTTCTTCGCCGGTCTTGGCCTCGGCCAGGGGCTTGTACAGGGGGTCCCGTTGCGAGTATCGCCCTATCGGCTCCATTTGCACCGCGTACGGTGGTGGTCGGCCTGAGCGCCGGGGGTGGTGGCCCACCAGGGGTTGGTGCTGGCGTTTTTCGCGCTCCCTGCTCTTCTCATCGTCCTTATTGGCCTGTACTGCCAGCAGTACGGCGCAGAGCACGAGCGTCACCTTAGACAGAAATCACATCGTTCGAGAAACCCCTAGAGTCTTTGAGATTATATATTCCACCTATACTTGATGGATAGCAAAATTGTATTTTTTATTACATCATTATCGCAGACGGGGGAAATGGCCGATCGCCCATACCTCGGAGCTATTGCAGGATATTTCGTCGATTTAAAAACTACTTATCTTTCTTAGCTCAAAAATAATAAACAGATTTTTACACATCAGACTAACCATGATTGAAAAAATGTGCCAACCATCTCTTATCGTCAGAGATGATGGTGCAAACATAAACTATAATTAAAAAAAAAAAAAAAAAAATCCATTCCACCTATACAGGATCGACAAAAAAATAGTTGAAAGTACTCAAGCGTCGAAAGGTGTATTTTATTAGCAATTTTATCCTGCTTTCGAGTACTTATCTCTATAATTAAGTATAAAACCTGGAAACACCGCGTCAATCACATACGACCCAAACTTGATTTCCAAACTCAAGCATTGCGACAGATGTTTTGTTACACTTGTATATAGTAAAAAGAGCACTTAAAGTCCCGCGTGGTGTATCAAACGACGACGTTCGTTTGTTTGTTTGTTATGTGGACGCCGTTTAATTATACGCGCGTATGAAGTATACCTACTCCTCTGCTCTATAATGATGGGTATAGCAAATTTGTTTCAAGACAGTTGTTCGGACGAAAGTGGCGCGGTAGTTTTGCAATCGAGTACCGCATTACGCGAACTTTCTTCCCTCCGCGCATTTGTATACCGATGCCCACGAAGGTTTCTCTGTTACTTCTAATTTGCGGACTTGCTCTTTTCGAACGAGAGCCAGTATAATTAAGTCTGTCGGGTTTTAACGACCATGTTGGTGCCAAAAAGGACAGGGCAGATTATTCATCGAGATTTAACGGTTTGGCTGATTTTGAAAACAATAGCCTCGTAAATAAAAGAGTGTGGTGACTGTATACAATCGTAGACGCGTCAACGTGTACAGGCACACGTAAAGTTGGCTTCCAAGAGAAAAGCCCCCATTTGCCTGCCACAGTATAGCTACAATTAATATACAACTTGAAGAACATTCGAGCACATGACTTTTGGTTTTTCCAAAGAGCGCGTGTACAGCTTTTGTCAGTGCCAAGGCCGTTTACTCCGGGTATGTACATATGTATCGTTTCGCGCTTGCTTCTATATATTTCTGTCAACTCGGCCGGGGGAGAGAGAGTGACAAATTCGTGACGGATCGTTTCGGGCGCGCTAACCGAGTGACCCGATTGCTGCGTACGTGCGAACGGAACGAGTCCGGTTAATCGGTCGTGCGCATCGATCGGTATTCAGGAAGCAAAACACGTGTATAATATGGTATACATACGTGTAAGCTCGACGATTTCCAATCCTATAGCAAACTCGTGTGCACATCGGTATACGAAGCGCGTCCGAGCCGACTCGTTTGTAAATTAACTTGCCGCGATCGAGAAAATAAGCTGTCCTTTTTTTTTTTTTTTTTTCTTCGCTCACACCCCTCGAGCATAGGTAATCGTGTATAGGTGCGGGTTGGAAGTGTATAATAGCGCAGGTGTCGGTCGTTCCGGGTTTACGAATTTATATCGGATATCGGACCGGTCGCTCGAAAAAGAACGACCGGCGCTTACCGGTCGCGTTAGATAACGCGAGAACCCTCGATGTAACTATACAACATAGCCCCGGTAATTTGAGAATATTATCTTCGTGGGAGATAGCCCCGTTGGTTCGGCTATCAAAAATTATATCCATGTAGGTTTTTTTTTTTTTTTTTTTTTTCTTCAATCATCGTAATTATCGTAGAGAAAAGTGGAGGGGGACGCGTAAATTGGTTTTTAGTGCATTATTATGGTTTATGTTGTAGTAAAAACAAAAACAAAAAAAAAAGATAGTAAAGAAAATTGAAGCGATTACTTTTAACGACGCCTTATGTAAATCCGTCAGCGTGGGCCCGTTTGTACATAATATATATGTATATAGGGCAAAGGTGCCAAGAGTTTTAACGGTCGAGCTTTAAACGCGCGCGTCGAATAATTTATTCATTTGCGCCTCGGAGTGAAATTTTTAAGAGGCAAAGAAAAGTTGTATTATTAATTTAGAGCTCTGCTCCGCACAGTTTATATATATATATATATATATATATGAGTTATATTGCGTACAATAATAA